AGTCTCGTAAAGTACCACTGGTAAACCTTGTACCATATTCAACACAACCCGTCCTACCAAATAGAACGTCGCATTTTGAATTATACTCTACCTAAGACCCCAAAACTGTCGTACTATTAAATGGCTCGCGAAATTTGATATAATGTCCCCGTTTTCCGTTGGTGGGTCCTCTGGTTGGTTAGGTTAGGATACCTTAGTACGACAGTTTCTTGACATTGTGAACTGTGTCGAGACCGGACCGGACTGGTCAACACACCCGTTCATCACCCTGAGGGACACCACTCCTTACTTGTACCTCCAGAGGTGAGTTTATTGATCACTTTCACCTGTCCTCGGGGTGTCCATGTTGTTCTGGGGGTGTCCATGTTGTTCTGGGGGTGTCCATGTTGTTCTGGGGGTGTCCATGTTGTTCTGGGGGTGTCCATGTTGTTCTGGGGGTGTCCATGTTGTTCTGGGGGGTGTGCATGTTGTTCTGGGGGTGTCCATGTTGTTCTGGGGGGTGTCCATGTTGTTCTGGGGGTGTCCATGTTGTTCTGGGGGTGTCCATGTTGTTCTGGGGGTGTCCATGTTGTTCTGGGGGTGTCCATGTTGTTCTGGGAGGTGTCCATGTTGTTCTGGGGGGTGTCCATGTTGTTCTGGGGGTGTCCATGTTGTTCTGGGGGTGTCCATGTTGTTCTGGGGGTGTCCATGTTGTTCTGGGGGTGTCCATGTTGTTCTGGGGGGTGTCCATGTTGTTCTGGGGGTGTCCATGTTGTTCTGGGGGTGTCCATGTTGTTCTGGGGGTGTCCATGTTGTTCTGGGGGTGTCCATTTTCCACCCTCCCATCCACTGATGGGGGGGGGTCCATGTCACCCCTTCCCACCCAGATCAGGATGGGGGAACCATGACACCCCAGAGCCCCCCACCAGTGCCCCCATCAGAGCCCCCCCCCGTGACCCCCCCAATGACCCCCATCTAGCGCCCCCTTACCAGTCCCCCCCCAGGGCCTCTCAGTGCCACACCAGTGCCCCCCCCCACACACACACTATCAGCCTAGGCCAATAAGCTGCATTAAGTGACCAACCAACCGGTACCCCACCTTCCCCTACGGGTAATGGGGCAGTTAAAAAGATGGGGGGGGCTAGGGGGGAGGGTGAGCTGGATAGATAGTTGCACAACAGCTGTTACCTGATTGGTCGGTACCTGAGGGTAACCAGCCAGTTAGGCGGCGGTGAGAACTTTAGATGTTATGGGGCTTAATTACTGCTGGGTTAAGAATTGTAATTAGGCAGTTAGAGGAACGAGACCGAGGCTTGTATACCTAGTCAGGTCCTTAATGGAGCGTGAGGATAGTTAGACCGTAGTGAGAAACGAGGCTCTCTAACCTTAATTGCGTCCACAGGGAACTGGTTGTTAAGACCTGTCCACCGGAGGATATAGGAGCAGTTAGATAGAACCGCTGGAGGATATAGGAGCAGTTATATAGATCCACCGGAGAATATAGCAATAGTTAGATAGAATCAGTATGGAGAGCAAGAAAGAGAGAGAGTTCAACATCTGTTTGCTTAGATTATATATAACATATAATCTCGATGTATAATTATATACAACGTATAATCTAAAATGTATATCTTGGTTATACTGGAAATAGGATCAGTTCAGGACGCGGGACATGGTAGCTAAACAGTGGGTTGGAATCCCGGTCTTGTCAACCTCTGGAAGGTATTACATGACTATTCATTTCTTACTGACCAACCAACACGTGTAAGTTTAGTCCCGAGTAATGTCCAGGACGAAAGCAAAGTCACCGTGTGTATATAGAGACGCCAGGTGTATATAGACACACTCTCTCAGTGTATGAGAGAGTCATGGCACCTTACCTTTGCGATGATTTCGGGGCCCAACGTCCCTGCGGCCCGGTCCTCGACCAGGCACACCTCTTCATGGCAAACTTGGCAGGCAGCTAAGAGGCCCTGAAGACTAGTAGTATAGTCAAGGACATATTCTCATCACTCAAGGAGGCTCCTCACGCTTGTATCAAGTCACTCCATCTCTCAAGCGATATTCTTTCTCAGTAAGTGAGGTAAGTGTCACGGGAGTTACTCAAGTGTTCAGCAAACAATACATATATACATCACATGGTGCTCGCAAGTGCCTGAAGCTGAACTGGTCAAATAATTGGCTAACGCCAAGCCATTTTTAATTTTTTTTTTAAATTTTGCCCCGAGGGGCGAGTTTATTGGGCAGCGCCACTCATCTTGTGAGTGGACACACCGCCATAGCAGCATGTACAACACTCCCCAATAGGAAGAAAACCCGCTGGGTTGTTCATCCTGTCACTTGTACCCAGACACAGCTGGGACTTGCTTAACTGTCTCAAGTGAACAGCTCCTCAAACAAGAAGATTAACGTCTATCATCCCTTAAAAGCTTACGTTATCTTGCGGGTGCAAAATGGGGAAGTCTTTTAAGAACACTATCAATATTTGACAAATAGTGTTTTCCTAACTCAAACAAATCACTTACGAAGGAAGGTGGAATTCAGCAAGTGTTATGGAGGATAAACACTCTCTTTAAGTGTCAGTGTTGCCCATTCTCCTGTGCGGGGTCACTCAGTGCTGGGTGACCCCGTTCGATTACGACACGGCAAAGCCCCAGATAGGCGGCCACAGGGAGGGGGTTATAATGGGGCCACTGATTGAGACATATCTCTGCTTAGGAGGTCCACTATCCTAACCTTCTAGTATATAATCCAACATGTTTTCTCTAACTCCAGTGTGGCCTCTTTCACGCGTTGCTTGTCGTCTCCAGGGCTCCTGTCCGGCCGCTCATGGTGGA